ATCCCGTCCATTCTTGTGTCTGGCCGCTGTAAGGGGGACCAGTCCCCGCACCCCCTGGAATATTTCCGGAAAGATGAAGAGGATCAGCCAGAATTCTTGCGGGCCCCTTGGGGTCTCAAGGGTTACACCGGACGTGCCATCACTGCCCCCTGCCAGAGGCAGGCGCGGACGGTTCGTATTCCGGATCACCTGATACGGCCAGGCATGGGGGCAGCCGCCCAATGTGCCGGACCATGTGTTGCCAGATCTGTTGCGCGGTCCGGTGCAGAGCGCGCCGTCAGATGTCTGCACCGTGACCGTGTCGCGGTAAAGGACTGCGGCTGTTGGGGTGACCATAGGCGGGGCATCCTGCATGGTGCAGCCTGTCAGCGCCAGGAACAGAAATATACGTTTCATTTTTGTCCTGCTGCCAGTTCCACCGGCGCGCCATGTGGTGTCGCCAGATAGGCGCGTTCCCAGGTGTCACGCCGGGTTTTAAGATCACCGGACGCGACAATTGCACCACCATCAAGCAGCCTTTCAAGCGCCCGCAAAGCAGCCGCATAATACGTTTCTTCGGTGTCTGCCCGCCCGGCACTTTCATCTGCGTCGCGTTCTGCGCCAAGCGTTTCAGCCCAGGCGGTGGCGCTGATCTGGCCGGATGTGACCAGCGTATCAGCGATTGCCAGAATCTGGGCATGCCAGGCCTCGCCAAATTTCGGCGCATTCGGGGCAAGGGCATCCTCAGGGCCGAATTCGCGGGGGATATTACAGGTGCTCAAGGTAGCTCTCCCAGAGATCTAGGGTCACGCTATCACGCGGATCTGCGTCAGCGCCCCAAAGCTCCCGCGCGGTAAAAATCACAGTGTAGAGATGTTCCGGCACCTCCTGTCCCTGTGCAGATTTATCCGGCAACGGGTGTGCGCCGCGCTGCGCAAGGATTTTGCCAGACCGGCCACGGGCATAGGCGGGCAGACGGGTGTGTGTAGGGACGGAATGGGACAGGGTTTTCACCGGATCCCCAACCGCAAAGGCAGGTGCGAAATCGACCTCTTCCTCAAATGTTTTGACAGAGGTGCGGTTCTTTTCAAGGATCTGTTCCTTGCCCATCACTTCAGCCCTGGGTGCACCATCCGCACGCAAAGCATTCTTCCCCACGATATTCAGGGCGTCTTCCATGGTGAAGGTCCCGCAATCCACGCCCAGGGCCAGATCCGTCATGCACCATTTCTCGAAATAGGGAATGGTCATATAGGCCTGCGGGGGCAGTTGCTCGACCACGTGACGCCACCAGTCGATTGTCACGGTGGAGTTGCGTGAAGACTGCGCCAGCGCCCACATACGCCCTTCCCAATCATGGTGCCAGGGGGCTTCGGGTTCATTCACATCAACCGGCCCAAATCCCTGCTTGCCGCCCAGATCATGGATCGTATCCATCACTTCACCTCCAGATCGCGATCAGTGCCGATCATGGAATTGCGGGTGACAAGGGCAGCCAGTTGTTCCTGGTTCCAGCCTTCGGTTCCGGCCGGGCGTTGCGGCACCACCAGGTAACGCAATTCCGCAGTACTGTCCCAGACGCGCACGGCAACGGCATCGCCAAGCGAGACACCAAATTCTTCCAACACTTTACGTGGCTCGCGCACCACCCGCGCGCGATAGGCTGATGCTTTGTACCAGGCAGGCGACAGGCCCAGCAGGGAAAACGGATAACAGGAACACAGGGTGCAGACGACGACATTGTGCTGGTCATCGGTGTTTTCCACCGCTTTCAGATCGCCGGTTGCTTTGCCTTCAAATCCAAATTCGGTGATCGCCTGCGCCGCGTCTTCCATCAGGCGCGCCTTGAAATCCGCATCCAACCAGGCGCGCGCCACAACCTGCGCACCACGTTTGGGACCGATATCCTCGGAGTAAGCTTCCACCCAGGCATCCAGCGTTTCTGTGGCCACAAGACCGCGTTCCACCAGCAGGCTTTCCAGCGCCTTCACCCGAAGGGCGGGTTCTGGTGGCAGGTGGGAATGCAGATGGTCATGAATTTTTGCAAGCTTGTCGCGATCAAATGATGTGCCGGATGTCATTGGGGGTCCTCCTGGGGGAAGGATGCCCCTGACATGTGTTGCGGGTCAACCGTGCAATAATGCGCAATGATGCTGTGGGAAGTGTTCAGAAATCCACGATATGGCTTCCTGACGCACGGTCTGATGCGCAACCCTCAGCGCCTGCTTGTCCCGATAGTATAAATCTTCCTGTTCCAGCAGGCAATAATAGGTATCCCAAAGCACACGGAAACCACTGGTTTCCCCAAACGACCCAAATGCGATGCACAGCTGTTCAAGCTGAAACAACGTCATTGCAAAATTTCCCTGCGAACTCCCGGCCAGCTTCAGAACAAGCGGCAGTGCGGCGTATCTTTCCATTTCCTGGCCCGTCTCAGGAAACTGAATGCCTACGGATTGCGCAGCCGCACGCACCAGAGGCTGCAATTCCGTCCAATGGTAGGGTGGCATCTCACCGGCCAGAATGATGACATCCATTTCATCGCACCCTGCTTCCAGCATTGAAAGCGCCCATGCGACACTCTCCCCAGCATTATCCGTGTTGGCCGCAGACAATGCAGCCACACGACAGCCCTGCGCGAACAGTTCCGGGGTCATCACAAAGGCCAGAAAACCGGGATCAGGAGGGATGCCAACAAACCGATTGTCAGGTTCAGCGGGATCCCGATTTTCATGAAGTCGGTGAATTTATAGCCCCCCGGACCATAAACCAGCATGTTGGTCTGATACCCGATTGGTGTGGCGAAACTTGCGCTTGCGGCCACCATTACGGCCACGACCAGCGGGCGGGCATCAACGCCAAGCGCATCGGCCAGGCCAATCGCAATCGGTGTCACAACCACCGCAACCGCATTGTTAGATACAAGTTCTGTCAGCACGGATGTCAGCAGATAAATCGCCCAGACGATCAGGAAAGGTGGCAGCAAGCCAAGGCCCGGCGCGATGGCGTCGACGATCAGTTTGACGGCCCCTGAGGCTTCCAGCGCCGCCCCGATGGCAAGCATCGAAAAGATCAGCGCCAGCAGGCGGCCATCAATGAAGGAAAAGGCTTCTTCGGCGTCAATGCAGCGTGACATAAAGATCAGCGCGACGGAAAGTATAGACAGCAGGAAGATCGGCGCGACGTTAAACGCCGCCAGGATCACAACCCCCAGAAGGGCCGCGATCGCCACAGGCGCGTGGCTGCGGCGATAGGCACGACCGGACGGTTTTGACACATCGACAAGCCCCATATCCTGGGCCAGGCGCGCGATATCTTCCGGTGCGCCTTCCAGCAAAAGCGTGTCGCCAACCCGCACAATCAGATCGTCCAGCTGACGCCCGATGTTCTGGTTCTTACGATGCACAGCCAGCGGGTAAACACCATAACGGCGGCGCAGACGCAGGGAACCAAGCGACCGGCCGACCATCTTAGTATCAGGCGAAATCAACACCTCAACCGTTGTGGTTTCCACAGCAGACAACTGATCCACGCGCTTCAGGCTTTTGTTCCGTTGCAGGGACAGAAGTTCGGTCATTTCGGTCCGCAGAACCACCCGGTCGCCGACCTGCAATGTCACCACATCAAGGTTCCGGCGCAGGGACTGATCGCCGCGCAACACGTCCACCAGACGCACGCCTTCGCGCTTGAACAGCTGAACGGTTTTAACCTCACGGCCGATCAGGTTGCTTTCCGGCGGGATCGCGGCCTCGGTGAAGAATTTCTTCTTCGAAATCTTGCCCAGCATATCCGCCATTGACCCACGATCAGGCAGCAGTTTCGGCCCGATAAAGCGCAGATAAATCATGCCCCAGATCACAAGGATAATGCCAAGCGGCGTGACTTCAAAGATCGAAAAAAGCCTCCATCCCGTTTGCGCGCGCAACACCGTCGACAAGCAGGTTGGTGGATGTCCCGATCAGGGTCAGCGTGCCACCAAGGATCGCTGCATAAGACAGGGGGATCAGCATTTTAGAGGCGGGCAGATCCAGGGTGCGGGCCAGTTGTACAAACACCGGGATCATCACGACAACAACCGGGGTGTTCGACACAATCGCAGAACTGAGAATGACAAATCCCATCAACATCGCCACAGCAAGAACCGGCTGGGTCTTGGCCTTGCGGTCGGCAAATTGCGTGAACCAGTCAAGCGATCCCGTGCGCACCAGCGCGCCCATGATGATGAACATCGCCGCAATCGTCCAGGGCGCAGGGTTTGCCAGCACTGGCAGGGCTTTTTCATAGGGCAGAATGCCGGTGGCCAGCATCAGGGCCACGCCGGCAATTGCCACAACTTCGGTTGGATAGCTTTCGCGCAGAAACAGCACAAACATCGCAGCCACGACGCAAAGTGCGACGATGGCCTGTCCCGTGGGGGATAGAATTTCAGCTAAAATCATCTGAGCCCATATTCGTTAAACCGCGCTGAGTGTCGCGGTTTATGGGGATGGGCGCAAGTGCGGTGTTGCCTGAGTATCTAAAAGGTTGTCTCCTGAATAGACTATCACACCAACGAGGCAGCTATGTTCACTGAAGACATCAAATTTAACATGAACTGGAAACATGGTACCGGATATCGAAACTGTGAGGAACTCCCTGAAACCCCCGGCATATATTGCGAGGTTTATTGGCCCGTTCGAGGCATCCGGGTTGGTGAGGCGCAGAACATTAAAGGCAATTGTATTAAGAACCAGAAATGGATGCAGAGTGCTGCAGCGAATAGACTTGACCGACAAGGTCCGCTGATCAATCACCTGAAAGACTGGGGAACAGGGAATATAGAGATTTTTGTACTCTCCAACCACCCATCCCTAGAAAGTCAGAAGGTTCGCCGGGGTTTCAAACATGCCCTGCATATATGGGCTGAGGAACAGGAGGACTGGAAAAACTTCAATGCTCATCCAAGAAAGGCTGCGAATTATGGCCAGCCGGTATGTGATGAGTTGCAAGCAGCACAAGAAGCAAGAGTGACTTTGAAATACTCACTGTCCAACAGCTGAAGCATTCCCCCTCGGCTGCACCAGAAACAGCCCTGCCATCATCAGAACAAGGGCGATCCAGATATAGCTGGAATAGCTCTCGGATAGCAAAAGCATGGACCAGAGCAGGCCGGACGCCGTGACGATATAGGCGACCTGGGCTGAGAACACCGCACCGGCACGGCCCACCAGCCAGACGTAGCCCGTGTACGCGATCACGTTGATCAGGGAGGCCATGACAATGGCGAAATCGGGGGCGGTCCAGGTGGTGGGCGGGGGGATGAATGTGCCGGTCATCAATGCGATGGGCAGGCTTGCGATGCTGCCCAGAATGCTTGCGCCCAGAAGAACACGCACCGGACCTTCGCCCGTGTCGCCCCATTTCGCCACAAGGTTGCTTTCCAGCCCGTATAAAAACGGTGCAATCAACGCAAGCGGTACAAAGACCACCATGGCGCGGTCTGGCAGGCTGGCCTCTGGCCCTGCGATCAATAGAACCGCAGCCATGCCGGTCAGCAGCCCGGCGAAGCGACGCCAGTTGAATTTCTCAGACCCAAACGCCAGTGCGATGGGGAAGGCGAACATCGGCACCAGTGAAATCAGCAGCGCCACGACGCCCGCAGGCAGATACACGGAGGCCGTGTAAGAGGCCCAGTTGGGCAACAGCGTGCCACACAGCATCACCGCCAGATACAGCCGGATCTGGTCACGTTTGAACCCGGGCCAGACGCCGCGTTGCCAGCAGATCAGCGATAGAAGGGTGGCACAGATGAACTGGTTCCAGAAGATGATCCCGAAATCGCGGTAGCCTTCGGACACGGCGATTTTGTTCAGCGGGAACGACAGGCCCCAGACCAGGCCACAGCCCAGCAGCACCAGAAACAAGGGCGCATTGCCCTGTTTTACGCGCGCAATCACGCGGGTGGCCAGGCGCTGTCGGGCTGGAAGGTTGCAGACGCCCGCCATTGCGGATCATCGCCACGCGCTTTGCCTTGCCCGTCATGTCATCAGTTTCAACAAAGAGGCCCGAAAGCGTTGCTTCCTCAAGCGCGGGGGTAAAACGCCCCTTGCCCATACCGGTGATAAAGCGGCGCATGGGTTCTTCTTTTTCCATGCCAATGACGGAATTATAATCGCCACACATGCCCGCATCCGCCTGAAATGCCGTGCCTTTTGGCAAGATCTGCGCGTCACCCGTCGGGATATGGGTGTGGGTGCCGACCACGACGCTTGCACGCCCGTCGCACCAATGGCCCATGCCCATTTTCTCGCTGGTGGCTTCGCAGTGAATGTCCACAAGGCTTGCCTGGACGCGTCCCATCAGCGGGGCTTTCTTCAGCTCGGCCTCAATCGCGGAGAAGGGATCCGAAAACGGGCGTTTCATGAAAACCTGGCCCAGCGCCTGTGTCACCAGAACCTTACGTCCGCGTGTGGCATCAAAGATACCGGCACCACGTCCGGGTGCATCTTTGGCAAAGTTCAGCGGGCGGATGATGCGGGGTTCCTGGGCGATATAGCCATACATATCCCGTTGATCAAACGCATGATCACCCAGGGTGATCACATCGGCCCCAGCCGCAAGGATCGCTTTAGCATGACTGGCATTCAGCCCCATACCAGAGGTCGCATTTTCACCGTTCACCACGATGAAATCGAGCTTCCAGTCCTCCCGCAGGCCGGGAAGGCGTTCAGAAATTGCATTGCGGCCGGCGCGGCCAACGACATCGCCAAGAAATAGAATACGCATAAAGAATGCATTATCACGGTCATTGTGTCGCGCAAGCGGGGAAATTACAGAAACGTCGCGTTTTCTGCTGATAGCCGGGTGAAATGAGGGGAAACCGACAGACTATTGCTGCGATGGCGCCACGGGTAAATACCGCATGCACAATCCATGCACATCCTATGCACAACTTATGCATATCACGCGCGCGGCGCTTTCAGCCCCTGTTAAGGATCAGAAGGTGATCACTTCGCGCTCTGTCACGATGTAATCAAGCGGCTGATCGGTGTCTTCCAGTGGCAGATCCCTGGCTTCCTGCGCGGCCCAGGCGAAACCGATGGCAAGGGTCGGACGTTTGGCGCGCAGGCCTTCAAGCGTGCGGTCATAAAAACCGCCGCCATACCCAAGACGCCCGCCCGCGCGATCAAAGGCCACAAGCGGGGCGATCAGCACTTCGGGTTCCACCCATTGGCAATCCGCCGGGATGCGTGCGCCGAAGGTGCCCATGGTCATGGTGGTGTCTGGTGTCCAAAGTGCGAATTTCAGAGGCTGACCATTGGCTTCGATCACCGGGACGGCGATCTTTGATGTGGCCGCCAGATCCGTCATCGCGGGCAGCGGGTCAATTTCGCTGCGCATGGGCATATAGGCCCCGATCACTTTGCCGGAATGCGCCGCCAGAATTTCCATCAGCTTTGCATTCGCCGTCGCGTTGCGCAGAGGCGCATCATCGGCGCGGTGTGTTGCGCCCCGGCGTTCAAAGGCAGCTTCGCGTGCCGCAGATTTCAGAGCCGTCAGATCGGTCATAATAGCATCCATCCCGCAAGACCCAGGAAGGCGAAAAAGCCCACCACATCGGTCACAGTTGTCACAAAGGCCCCCGACGCCAGCGCCGGATCGACCCCAAGTTTTTCCAGCGAGACCGGCACAAGAATGCCCGCAAGCCCCGCGATCACCAGGTTCACCACCATGGCAATCGCCAGCACCGCGCCCAACATCGGTTGTCCGAACCAGATCCAGCCAACCACGCCCATGATCAGGGCAAAGGCCAGGCCATTGGCCAGCCCCACCAGGGCTTCCCGTTTGATCACCCGCCAGAGGTTGGAACTGGTAAGGTCTTTTGTCGCCAGCGCCCGCACCGCCACTGTGAGCGCCTGAGTGCCGGCGTTCCCGCCCATAGACGCCACAATGGGCATCAGAACCGCCAGGGCAACAAATTGCGCGATGGTGGCTTCAAACTGGGCGATCACCAGAGAGGCCAGGATCGCGGTGATCAGGTTGACAAACAGCCATGGGAAACGGGTTTTAGTGGTTTCAATCACGCGGTCAGACAGGCTGGTGGCTTCGCCCACACCGGCGAGACGCAGGATGTCTTCTTCATGTTCTTCATCCAGAACCGCCATCGCATCATCAATGGTGATGACGCCAACCAGACGGTCATCTTCATCCACAACAGGGGCGGAAATCAGGTGGTACTGGTTGAATGCATAAGCGACATCTTCTTCCGGCTGGGTCACGCGGATCGGGCGGAAGGTGTCTTCGCACAAATCTGTCAGTGGGATTTCACGCGCCGCGCCCAGCAATTTGCCCAGGGTCACATAACCCGTCGGTTTCAGGCGCGGATCAACCATGATCACATGGTAAAACTGTTCCGGCAGTTCATCCTGATTGCGCAGAAAATCGATTGTCTGACCGACGTTCCAGTGTTCGGGTGCAGCAACGATTTCGCGCTGCATAAGGCGACCGGCGGAATCTTCGGGCCAGGCCAGCGCCTGTTCCACCGCAACCCGATCTGCATCTTCCAGCGCGTCAAGGATGGCTTCCTGTTGCGGTTCATCCAGATCCTCAACCAGATCAACAACATCATCGGTTTCAAGTTCGCGGACGGCCTCTGACACCACGTCGTCGGGCAGGAATTCGATTGCCTCTTCGCGCAGGCTTTCGTCAAGTTCAGACAGGATTTCCCCGTCAAACACATCCCGCGCCAGCAAAAGGATTTCGCGACGTTCCCCCTGATCGACCTGTTCCAGAAGGTCGGCAACGTCAGCAGCATGCAGGGGTTCAAAGATTTCTTCCAGGCGGGATTTATCGGCGGTGGCCAGGACCAGACGGACCTCATCAACCAGTGACCGGTCCAGGGCAAAATCTTCGTCCTGGTCGTCCTGGTCAAAGAGTGTATCTGCCATGTTTTGCCCTCATACCTGGAAATCAACCGATGTGGCGGTTGCCCCGCCTTTATGCAAACATAACCAAAAGTCTTTCGGGAAAACAGGGATAACCGGGCGATTTACCTGGAAAATGCGACAGGCTATGCTAATCGCCGGTGAACGCATAAAGGACGCTTTGATAATGCAGAAAATTCTGACCGGCCAGGTGCTGCAGTTTCTTGCCAACCCGTTTGAGGGCCCGGCGGAAGAAAGCGCGCGGGTGATCACGGATGGTGCCGTTCTGATTGAGGGCGGGCGTATTGCGAAGGTCGGCCGTGCGGCAGATCTGCTGGCGGATTATCCGCAGGCCGTGGTGACGCGCTATGGTGATCACCTGATCTGCGCCGGGTTTGTTGATGCCCATGTGCATTACCCGCAGACCGCGATTATCGCGAGCTGGGGTAAACGGCTGATTGACTGGCTGAACACCTATACGTTTCCGGAAGAAATGCGGTTTGCCGATGCGGGTTTCGCCCGGGAAACGGCGGGTCGCTATCTGGATCTGACCCGGGCCAATGGCACAACCACTGTGACCAGTTTCTGTACGATCCATCCGGAAAGTGTTGATGCGCTGTTTGACGCGGCAGAGACACGCGGACAGCGCATTGTGGCTGGCAAAACCTGTATGGATCGCAACGCGCCGGACGGGCTGCGCGACACGGTACAAAGCGCTTATGACGACAGCAAAGCCCTGCTGGAAAAATGGCACGGGCGCGGGCGGGCGACCTATGCGATCACACCGCGGTTTTCGCCGACCTCGACGCCGGAACAGCTGGCGGCGATGGGAGCTTTGTGGGCGGAATATCCTGAAGTTCTGATGCAAACGCATTTGTCGGAACAGCTGGATGAGATTGAATGGGTGAAGGAACTTTACCCGAATTCCCGCGATTACCTGGACACGTATGAAGAACACGGGCTGTTGCGCCCGGGGGCGCTGTTTGGTCATGCGATTCATCTGACAGATCGTGAACGCGCACGCCTGAAGGAAATGGACGCAAGCCTTGTGCATTGCCCGACGTCGAACACATTCATCGGTTCCGGCCTGTTTGATATGGCCGGGCTGATGGCTGAGGGACAGCGTGTGGGCCTGGCGACAGATACCGGTGGCGGATCCAGTTTTTCGATGCTGCGCACCATGGCGGCGGCGTATGAAGTGGGCCAGCTGCGTGGCACGCCTTTGCATCCTGCGCAACTGATGTGGCTGGCGACCCAGGGATCCGCGCGCGCGCTGCGGATGGAAGATAAGATCGGCAATATCGTGGAAGGGATGGAGGCGGACCTGACCGTGCTTGACCTGGCTTCAACCCCGGCGATTGCCCAGCGCCACGTAAGAGCCGGTGATATCTGGGAGGCCCTTTTCCCAACGATCATGATGGGGGATGACCGGGCTGTGGTGGATTGCTGGATAAACGGCGAGCCGTGAAAAACATCAGAGCAGTTCAGCTGAGCGTACGCCTGAAGCGTTCCGGTACTGCTGAACGAACTTAAAAAACATGCTCCATGCCTCTTCCGCTCCCGCAGTATTTTCTTCAATCGCCGCTGCAAAGCCAAGTGCCGCTGACCAACCCGTCACAGAATGCAGCCAAACAGAAAAATCTGCCGGCGAGAACATCCGACCCTCATATACTTCTGTAATTTTGTTTACCCTCAGACAGCTGCAATACCCATGCAATAGTGTTTCCAGGTCCTCCAGAGAAAGGTCGCGGGTGAACATTCCCGGGTATTTCTCCATACGTGCAATATAGTCGTAAATATCGTTCAAAGCCTTACCTTTCAGGGTTCCACAAAGTCAGATCCATTCATCAGGCGCAATTCTGAATGGTCAGCCCCTGGGTTTAACCTAAATTCACACGCGTACCCCGGGCAGCTAAATGACCAGAAGCAACAGAAACCACCTGATCCTCAATATCTTTTGCGTTCCAGTTCTGCTTCCCAGCGGTCCAGACGCTGTTGCGCAAAAGATGCAACCTTTAAGTCAACTGAAGCACTCAGCCTTTTCAGGGCATTCTTTGACGCTTCTGTTCCTATATCAGCAAGCGCCCACGTGCATTTTTACGCGCCAGCGCCAGATTTTCATCCCAGCCTAAATAGGTCGGCACCTGCATCGCCCTTTCTTCCAGCACGGTAACCGCATCGATACATTTAAGACCCTGAATTGCCAGGACGATGTCTTCATGTCGAAAATGCCAGTCAAGCCGAAGCGCATCAATTAGAAGATCACAAAGGTTATCCGCACCCCGGATCGGAAAACACCCGATCAGAGCAAGCTCAAAACGATCAGCATCCCGGCATTCAAGGGCAGCCTTTAAATTTTCTCGCTTTTGTCCAGACATCATTCCCCTGAAAACAGGCACAATCAGCAAAGAACCAGATAAATCATCAGCAGGGTTTGACCAGCAGAAGAACCCAGGCCTGGCCTTCGGGATCATAACCAAGGCCGTATTGGGTCGCGCGGGGGTTCAGGATATTCGCGCGATGTGGCGGGGACGCCATCCAGGATTGCACGACGTCTTCCGGGCTGGTCTGTCCGCGGGCGATATTTTCAGCAAAGGTGCAGGCCTGCACACCCCCTGCCGCAAGACGATCACCTGGGCCAGCACCACTTGCGCTTTGATGAGACAGGCTGGTCTGATTGCTGACTTCGGATGCAAACAGGCGGGCAATCCCGGACACCTGCGGGGCGTATTCAAGTTCCGCCAGTCCCATGCGTTTGCGTTGTGTATTCACAATTGCGGCCGCCACCAGTTCTGCACGCGGGGCGGCACTGACAGAGGCTCTGACCTCTTCGGGGCCAGGCGCGCTGCCTGTATTGTTGCATCCCGCCAGTATTGCTGAACCAAGGGCCAGCGCGACAATTGATTTGGTAAGTCTCATGGTAATCTCCGGGCAAATATAGCCTGATTTAACAACCTGGTGCGGCCAGGAGCAAGACCCAGTGATTGCGTTCCGGATGCAGGGCCAGGCCAAATTCCTGCAGGTTTGGCAAAAAGATATTGTCGCGGTGCCCTGATGAGCCAAGCCAATCACGCATAATCACGTCAACAGTTTCCTGCCCCTGCCCCAGGTTTTCAGCGACACGACAGGCCCCATAGCCGCTGTCGCGCACACGGGTGATGGCGTTTTTGCCCTGCCCGTTGGTGTGTGACAATGCGATACCGGGTTGGGCCAGCCAGTTGGCATGCCCCTGTGCCACCCGGCTGAGGCCCCGGTTGTAACTGATCGGCGAAAGCCCACGCGCCCGGCGTTCCGCATTCAGGCGCAGACCTACTTTATCAGCAATACTGCCGGAGGGCGCGTTCTGACGCCGGATCTGTCCGGCGGCCCGGGTAATCGCCTGATCTGCAGGCACCACATGTGTATAGGACGCACGATGTTCAACCACACAAGCCGGCAACAACAGCACCATGACCAACACAACCAAAGAACGAAACATCGTATTCTCCCTCAGGGCAGAGCCCCTGGAAGATTCAGATCACCAGAGCCCGTGCCAATGTATTTTGATGGGAGATAGTCTGGTAGAGATCTATGGTCACAATGTGGCCGGATGTCACAATTTTTCGCCCGTTCACCAGAAGATCCCTCACTTTTGTGGGCCCTGTCAAGAGCAACCCTGCGGGGTCGTGACTTCCGGCGGATTCAACCTGGCCGAGATCCCAGATCGCGATATCAGCGCAGGCATTCACCGCAATACGCCCGCAATCCGGACGCCCCAGAACATCGGCCCCGCCCCGTGTGGCAATTTCAAGCGCTTCCCGGGCGCTCATGGCATCTGCGCCAAGATTCACCCGCTGCAAAAGCATCGCCTGACGGGCCTCAGCCGCCATATTCGCCATATCATTTGACGCCGAACCATCGACGCCAAGACCAACTTTCACGCCCGCATCCCGCATCGCACGGACCGGCGCGATACCCGACCCAAGGCGACAGTTCGAACAGGGGCAATGGGCCACACCGGTGCCGGTGCGCGCGAACAGGTCAATTTCCTGCCCATCAAGTTTCACACAATGGGCATGCCAGACATCATTCCCGGTCCAGCCCAGATCTTCTGCATATTGGCCAGGCCGGCAGCCGAATTTTTCAAGGCTATAGGCCACGTCTTCGTCATTTTTCCGCCAGATGGGTGTGCAGCATCACGCCCTTATCCCGCGCAAGTAAGGCCGTATCGCGCATCAACTCCCGGCTGACGGAAAAGGGCGAACAGGGGGCCAGACCAATGCGCAGCATGGATCCTTCAGCCGGGTCATGCCAGCGATCCACCAGGCGGATCATATCGTTGAGAATATCTTCTTCGCGTTCCACCAGCGCATCGGGGGGCAGGCCACCATCGCTTTCGCCAATCGACATCGCCCCGCGTGTGGGGTGAAAGCGCATGCCGATTTCCTGCGCGGCCTCAATCGTATCCTCAAGCCTTGAACCGTTGGGATACAGGTAGAGGTGATCCGAGGTCATCGTGCATCCAGATAAGGCAAGTTCGGCCAGGCCCGTCAGCGCGGATACCCGCATTTCTTCCGGGCCAAAGCCGGACCAGATCGGGTAAAGCCTTTGCAGCCAGCCAAACAGCAGCGCATCCTGTGCGCCGGGCACCGCACGGGTCAGACTTTGGTACAGATGGTGGTGGGTATTCACGAGGCCTGGGGTCACAAGGCAGTTTTCGGCGTTAATCACCTCTGCCCCGACAGCGGCTGTCAGCCCCTGCCCGACAGCCGCAACCCGGTTTCCACGGATCAGGATATCGGCGTGCTGCAATTCACGCCGGTCGTCATCCATGGTCAGAATGCAGCGGGCGTTTTGAATCAGAATTTCACGGTCTGGGTTTGATGTCATCACACAGGTCCTCTGTTTACGAAGACCCGTTCGGTGTGACGCATGCGCGCCCAAAGGCTGGCGGACAGAAGGGCAAGGACTCCGGCCAGCGGGGAGACTATATGATATTTTACCGCCCCGGATCAATCCATCCCGGGGCGGTTGATGAATACAAGGTTAATGGCGCGCCAGGAAATCCGATACAAGCACCAGACCCTTTTCCAGGATCTCAGGGCTATTGGCGTATCCAATCCGCACATAACCTTCCATACCCAGGGCCGAACCCGGCGTGAACATCACCCCGGTTTCCTGCAACAATGACACGCAGAAATCGCGTGAATTCAGGGGCAGATCATATTTCAGAAGCGCCGTTGTGCCAGAAGCCGGTTTCACCCAGCTGATCTTTGCCTCATCCGCGATCCAGGCGTCAAGAATGGCCAGATTACCCCGGGTGATCGCCTGACTGCGGGCCAGAACCTGATCTTTGTTTTCAAGCGCAAGGGTCGCAAAATGATCGTCAATCATCCCGACCGAGATCGTGTCATAATCGCGGTGAATGGTGACCTCTTCGATCAGATCCACAGGCCCGGCAATCCAGCCAAGACGCAGACCAGCAAGAGAGTACGCTTTGGACATGCCCGCTGTACTGATGCCTTTTTCATAAATATCCGCGATGGAATCTGTCATGCCATTCCCGGTCTGATCGGTGCCGCGGTAGACTTCGTCACACAGAACCCAGGCCCCGGCGGAGCGCGCGATTTCTGCAATCTCTTCCAGCATTTCACGCCCCATCAGTGCGCCGGTGGGGTTGTTCGGATTGTTGATCGCAATCAGGCGTGTGTCTGGCGTGACCAGTGCGCGCAGCTGTTCCAGATCCGGCAGAAACCCGTCTTCTTCACGCAGTTGCAGCGGATGCACATCGGCGCCAATGCTGGCGGGAATGGAATAATGCTGCTGATAGGTCGGCACCACAGCCACCACCCGATCACCGTGCGATACAAGCGTTTTATGCACCAGCATATTCGCGCCAATCGTGCCATGGGTGACAATTGTATTTTCCGGTTTCTGGTTCTGATACAATGCAGAGATTGCCTGCCGCAGACGATCCGATCCTTCAATCGCGCCATAGGTCATTTTCATTGGCAGAAGATCGGACAGGCTGTCGTCATTGCGCCCGGCCAGTTGCAGAAGTTCCGCAATTGTCAGGCTTTCAACACAGGTTTCAGCCAGGTTCCATTCGCATCTGGTTTCCCATTCGTTCATCCAGATTTCGACACCAAAAGGTTCAATATGCATAGGGTTTCCTTTCTTCAGGCCATCGCGGCGCGGTAAACGGCATGGGCGACGGCGATGTCTTCAAGCCCAAGGCCGATGGAACGGAAGAACACAGGGCTTCCCTTTTCCGGTGTGGCGCATGTGCCGGTGGCAAGTTCCGCCAGATCGCCTTTCAACGCCTCAGCCTGCCAGCCATGATCCTGTGCCGCCAGTTGCATTTCACCGGCCGCCCCCGGGGTTGTTGCGCGGTAATCGCAGTAAACCTGCGCTGTGTTCAGGAAGGCGGGCGCAATTTCATGGGCCTTTGCAACATTGGTGCTGATCGACGTGACAAGGGTGTCCTCGCCCACAGCAGACATGTCCAGGACCGGCGTGCCGGACGATGTGCAAAGCATAATCACATCCGCATCTTTTGCCGCATCTTCTGTCGTGGCAGAAAGTTTCACCCCGGGGCATACGTTTTTCCAGGCCTGCTGCCGGGGTTCATCTGTCGCCAGACCGGGGGAATAAATGCATACCTCATCCCAGTTCCGCAGATCCTGCACATACTGCCAATGGGCCAGCGCAACCGCGCCTGTGCCGATGATCGCCAGTTTGCGGGATGAGGGCTGCGCGAGGAAATCCACCGCCAGCGCCGTTGTCGCCGCCGTGCGTTCTGTTGTCAGACGCCCGGAATCGCACAACAGCAGGGGCTGCCCGGTTTCGGATGACATAAGCGTGGTCCAGGCGGTGATCACAGGTTTGCCCGGCTTGACCAGATAGGGCGACAGTTTCGCGCCAAAGACACCGCTGCCGGTTTCCGCCCCCAGATAGGTGATAAAATCCCCCTTATCGCCGGGCAGCAATGTCAGCGTCTGGGACGGCTGCACAGCCTTTCCTTCGCCCAAAGCGGTGAACAGGGCACGCATTTCACCTAAGATATCAAGCTGTGGCAAAACCTGTTCAACGGCTTTCGCATCAAGCACCAGCGGGGATGTATTCATATCTGCTTTTCCTTCTTTGTGCCGATATTGTATGGTTTTCAGGGATCTGGCTATCATCCCCGGGGATGAGGCCAGGCGAAACATGTGATGAGCCGGGGCCATGCAGGAATATAAATCGGATGTGTCAGCTTTTGCCTCTGCGCTGGCGGGTATCATCGAAAACGGCGGCGCGGGTGGCAGGCTGATTGAGGCCGCGGGGCATATCCTGCCCTTCTCTGCTGCTTTCTGTGTTGTGAACCGGCCTTCTGGCGCCCCTGTCTATCTTGCAGATAACTATCCGGACGGCCCCGCGCGCGATGCTGTGCAACTTTATGTACGCAGCACGTATCTTCTGAACCCCGTCTATAACGCAATTCTGAACGGGCTGCCCCAAGGACTGTATCCGATGGCGGATCTGGCACCGGACAACTGGGTAGCGGATCTGAGTTCAGATCACGTCTCACCGGCACAGGACGAAGAGATTGGGTACCGGACAGAAGGCTGGCCCCGCGGCTTGCAGGAGCTTTCCCTGCTTGTAGATCTGGGGCAAGGCGATATGGGGGAAATCAGTTTCGCCCGTCCTGCGGCAGATGGCGGGTTTACCCCATGCATGCTGGATATGCTGCGCCCGTTCCTGCCTTTGATCGCTGTTGCTTTCAGACGGATCTGGTCCGGGCAGGATGCAACACCGACACCCAAACCTGCCCCGGCCCTGGATGAATTTGCGCAAGACGTCCTGACCACGAGAGAATCTGAGATCATCCATATGATCCTGAAGGGCCATTCCAGCCTGTCTGTCAGCATGGCTTTGGGCATTGCTCTGCCCACAGTGAAATCCCACCGCAGGAATGCTTACAGCAAGCTGGGGGTCAGCACCCAACAGCAGCTTTTCACGGCCTTTCTGAAATGGCAGGGCGGGTTAATCTGAGGAATCAGAGGCCGCCACTGCGCAGCGATCGTTTGCATTCTTTCGGCGGCTGACCGTCATAGGTGAAAGCCTCCACATGACATTCCGCACATTTCCAGCATTGTGATCTTCCACGCGGACGAAAACGGTCTTCGCGCCAGCGACAGGTTTTTCCAGACACACCGGTCTGTGATCTGCGGAAGATGAAATACCCTGCCAGAAGCAGAACCAATAAAACCAAAACAGGCATTCTGCCCCTCACTCATTACATGCCTCTATCCTGGTTATTTCAGACAACAGAGCAACAAAAAACGCCCGCGACAAAGGCGGGCGTTCTGATTTTCAGTGTTCTGCTGGCTCAGGCTGCGCGTTCAACAAGCAGTTGCTTGATTTCAGCGATTGCCTTGGCCGGGTTCAGGCCTTTCGGGCAGGTCTTGGCGCAGTTCATGATGGTGTGGCAGCGGTACAGTTTGAACGGATCGTCCAGCTCGTCCAGGCGTTCGCCAGTTGCCTCATCCCGTGAATCGATGATCCAGCGGTACGCATGCAACAGCGCGGCAGGGCCGAGGTATTTGTCGCCGTTCCACCAGTAGCTTGGGCAGGATGTGGAACAAGACGCACACATCACGCATTCATACAGACCATCCAGTTTCTTACGATCGGCGATGGATTGCTTCCATTCCTTCGCAGGGCGGTTGGTCTTGGTTTCCAGCCACGGCATGATGGATGCGTGCTGCGCATAGAAATGCGTCAGATCCGGGATCAGATCGCGCACCACAGGCATGTGTGGCAGAGGGTAGATTTTTACGTCACCCTTGATTTCATCCATGCCATAGATACAGGCCAGCGTGTTGATGCCGTCGATGTTCATCGCACAGGATCCACAGATGCCTTCGCGGCAGGACCGGCGGAACGCCAATGTCGGATCGATGTCGGTTTTGATCTTGATCAGCGCATCAAGAACCATCGGACCACAGGTGTCGAGATCCACAAAATAGGTGTCGACCTGTGGGTTCTTGCCGTCTTCTTCGTTCCAGCGATAGATCTGGAATTTACGGACGTTGGTTGCGCCTTCCGGCTTGGGCCAGGTCTTGCCTGTCACCATGCGGGAGTTCTTGGGGAGTCTGAATTCTGCCATCAGTCTTCTCCTATAGCTGAATGCCGCTGAGACTTTCCCGGGCGATGCATTTCACAGCATCCGGGCGCGCGGCGATGTTAACCACGGTCTCAACGGTTGAATCATTAATGCCCGTGACAGCTGCACCGGCAAGTGTGAAAATTTCATTGCTGCTGGCCTGGTTGATGATGCAGGCGGCAACAGGTTCAACGTTCACGCCGGGGAATTTATCCTCGGACACGGACACCACGGTGCGCAGGGCTGCTGCGCGTGTGGTGTTGTCGACCTGTTCCTGCAAGGTACAACCCGCGGCGGCAAATGCCACCGCAGCCAGTGCAATATATGAAGCCATACGGCGCATCAGAAAGTCCGCGCCTTTGGTGCGATTTTCTTCAGCTCGATGCCGCCTTCTGCTTCTGTTGTCAGCGGATCTGTCACAACCGGACGATGGGACAGCTCAACTTTGTTGCCTTCCACACGGCTGATTGTATGCACGCGCCAGTTTTCATCATCCCGTGTCGGGTGATCTTCATGGGCATGTGCGCCACGGCTTTCTTTACGGGCCTCAGCACCAACAATCGTTGCCAAAGCGTTTGGCATCAGGTTGGTCAGTTCCAGCGTTTCCATCAGATCTGTGTTCCAGATCATGGTGCGGTCAGAGACAGCCAGATCGTCCAGCTTGGCTGCAACGCCAGTCATTTTCTCAACACCTTCAGACAGGGTGCTGGCTTCACGGAAGACAGCCGCATCCGCCTGCATGGTTTTCTGCATCTCAAGACGCAGTTCCGCAGTTGGTGTCCCACCTTTGGCATGACGCAGACCGTCGAAACGATCCAGTGCCTTGTCGACAGATGCCTGGTTCAGAACCGGGTTTGGCGCATCCGCATCCACAACTTTACCAGCGCGGATCGCAGCCGCACGCCCAAAGACCACGAGGTCAATCAGCGAGTTAGACCCAAGACGGTTCGCACCATGCACAGAGGCACAGCCCGCTTCGCCCACAGCCATCAGGCCAGGCACAACAGCGTTTGGATCTTCTGCAGTCGGGTTCAGAGCTTCGCCATAATAGTTGGTCGGAATACCGCCCATGTTGTAGTGGACTGTCGGCAGAACCGGGATCGGTTCTTTGGTCAGATCAACACCGGCAAAGATCCGTGCGCTTTCAGAAATACCCGGCAGACGTTCGGCCAGGGTTTCCGGTGGCAGGTGGTTCAGGTGCAGGTGGATGTGATCGCCTTCTTTACCAACACCACGGCCTTCGCGGATTTCCATGGTCATACAACGGGACACGTAATCACGTGGGGCCAGGTCTTTATACTGGGGCGCGTAACGTTCCATGAAACGTTCACCCTCAGAGTTGGTCAGATAGCCGCCTTCACCGCGCGCACCCTCTGTGATCAGACAGCCGGACCCATAGATGCCGGTCGGGTGGAACTGCACAAATTCCATATCCTGCAAAGGCAGACCCGCACGGGCCACCATGCCGCCACCGTCACCGGTACAGGTGTGGGCAGAGGTTGCAGAGAAATAAGCACGGCCATAACCACCGGTCGCCAGAACAACCATCTTGGCGTTAAACACGTGGATCGTGCCGTCATCCAGTTTCCAGCAGACAACACCCTGACACTGACCGTCTTCCGACATGATCAGATCAATGGCGAAATATTCAATGTAGAATTCTGCGTTATGCTTCAGGGACTGACCATACAGCGTGTGCAGGATCGCGTGACCGGTCCGGTCCGCCGCGGCACAGGTCCGCTGCACGGGGGGGCCGTCCCCGAATTCAGTGGTGTGGCCACCAAACGGACGCTGATAGATCTTGCCTTCTTCGGTACGTGAGAACGGCACACCGTAATGTTCCAGTTCATACACCGCTTTGGGGGCTTCACGGGCGAGATATTCCATCGCATCCGTGTCACCCAGCCAGTCAGACCCTTTTACAGTGTCAAACATATGCCACTGCCAGTGGTCCGGCCCCATGTTGGACAAAGACGCGGCAATGCCGCCCTGCGCCGCAACCGTGTGGGAACGGGTTGGGAATACTTTGGAAATACAGGCGGTCTTCAGACCCTGTTCTGCCATGCCAAGGGTTGCGCGCAGACCTGCGCCACCGGCACCGACAACCACGACGTCAAATTCGTGGGTTTCATATTCATATGCTGCCATTGTTCTAATTCCTTACAGCCATCAATCAGAGGGCGATACGTGCGAGAGCGAAAAGAGCAACGGCAATGAGGCCATAGCTCAGGCAGGCGGCGCCCGCGATCAGATAGGTCCGGGTGTGACCATGCACATAATCTTCCAGCATGATCTGAACGCCGTGGCGGAAGTGGATCAGGCAACAGTGATGGTCAGGCCGGTGATGATGGCGTTGAACGGTTTGGCGAAATGCGCAATCGCATCGTCATAAGCCAGCCCGATGGCAGACCCGAAGACATAGACAAACAGCGGAACCAGCAGGATCTGCGCGGTGGATCCAATCATCATCTGCCAGTGGTGTGCGGTGCCGGATTGGAAGACCCAAGGCCGTTGGCGCGTTTACGGTCAGTCAGAAAAGACATGTTTGCGCTCCCTTATATGATCAGCAGGGCAAGGATCGTCAGAACGAACGACCCTGCGACAACAACGATGGCAGGGTCCTGGCTTTGTCCAGCTCAAACCCGCGACCTGAATCCCACCAGAGGTGACGCAGACCCGCCATATAGTGGGAAAGCGCCCAGAGGGACCCCAGCATCACAAGCTTGCCAAACCAGGAGGTCATGACCGCATTCGCGCATTCAAAGTATTCCGGACCAGATGCCAGGGCAATCAGCCACCAGACGGTCAGCAGCGTGCCAACGATCAGAGCATTGCCAGTGATACGGTTAAAATAGAATCACAGAAGTGAACTGTGGACGGTAAATCGTCAGATGCGGCGATAGCGGCCGGTTACCCCGGTTTACGTCAGCCATGTGGGTGCCCCCTTGCGGTTGGTCTGCCTTATGTTGGCCCTGCTGGCCTGCCGGCAGGACATGTCGGAATCAGACGGGAAAATGCCGCCTGCGCCGGATTTCACCCATCAATACTCAATATTTCCCGAATGTCACACCTTTTCGATGTTGTTTTTGAAACTTTCGCAGCGGTATTGCCCCTGATCGCGGTATTTTTACCATTTTGTGATCACATGATTATTTTTCGTGATCACAAATATTGA